GCGCGTCTGTAGTCCATCGCCTCCGTGTGCACGCGCTTCTCCTCTTGGATGTCCAGGTAATTCTCTAGATTTGAAGGTACGAAGGACGTTTTTATCTAAGTGAAATAAAGACGAAAAACTGTTTTGCAGTTTTAACTCGCCGACTTTCGTCTTGTATTCTCGACCCAGAATCTGTAAAATCAACTGCTTTCTATTCTTAACATTATACTTACTCTCAAACTCGTCAAAGATATTTATATTTTCATCATCCTTAAAGATTTCTAGTGCAGGCGGCTCCGTGAACAGCTCGATGGGTTGGTAATCAATGAAGAGAGTAGGTGCGGAGAGGCGCGCTGGGGCATCGATCATGGCGACAGCCACGGTGCCGTTGCCGCCCAGGTGCGCCAGGTGCTCCAGGGCTGTGTCCACCACCGCTTGCTGAACACCACTCTCGTAGCGATGCGAAACAATCATCTTTGATTCTGATGAAAGAGAAGAACAATATTTATACCAATATCCCACTTAGTAGTATAGAAGATAAGTAGAAACAATTTTACCATATTCGACGGGAGCTTCCGGTTTCCTCAAAATGACTGTACCATCATAGCTGAATGTAATGAGGGCGGCGCTGTTAATGTAGCCCCTGCACTGCTTTAGATCGTGGCCCGATTCGAACACCGGGCCCATCTTTACCGATACTGTAATGCCTTTCTGCAATCCACGGAACAAATGAATTAACTACGAGCTTACAATCATTCACTCGAATGTTGTCAAATATTTTACTTAATTTTCAATTATCTGTTTTGGTGCCTGCGCTTGAGTCCTCATGTACTAGGCACACAGGTGCAATGAAAGCAGCAGGGTGCTCACCTCGCCGGAGAGTCGCAGCACGTGCAGCTGGTTGGTGAGGTGCGGCACGGCGAGGGCACAGCCCGGCTGCGCCAAAGGCAGTAGCTGCGAGTACGGGCCTTGCATTTTGCCCGCAAATTTGTTGTCTTTGCCATTGTCAGCATTGATGCACATGATACGTTCCCCTGCAAATTTTACATAAGAGTTGACGCTGACGAGTGAAACTTTTAATCGTTCTTTTTACTACTCAAACTAACTATACCTACATATAAATTACATACCAATGGCATACTTGTCTGAGAAGAGTACGAGGTTGAAGGAGCGCATGGAGTCGCCGACCTTCATGAGGAAGCTGTCCGCCAGCCCGCGGCCCAGCTCCGTGTACCGCACCAGAGTCAGCTTGTACTGCTCTGACAACTACGCAATCATATCATTTAACTATTCTTCATAGACTATCGTTGAATCTACAAGAGTCAGATTGCGAGTTTCATGTACCTTCCTTAGGACCGTAAAGTTTTAAATAATTCACTACATGGTCACACCCTCTCATTCCACGTAATAGAAAAAGAGTATTCTTACTTGAAACACAAATATATGTCCGGCAGAAGAGGCGACCGCGGTGACTTGTCTTCCCGTCGGAGAGAACACGATCTGTGAGACGATCTGGTGCGTGAGGCACATGCTGCCCACCTGCTCCAGCCCCGCTTCGGGGGTGAATGTGAACAGCCCCATGCCGTAGTTGACGCCCAGTTCACCGAACAAAATGAGCAGCGGCTCCACGGGACTGGCTTGAAACGATATGTCATTGCCTTCCACGCTCTTTCTTAGGATCTAAAAATTAACAAAGCAATTTTGGTTATTCGAAGAACAGATAAGACGATTTAATATAAATATAATATGAATAAATCCAAAGAAATGTGAAAACACGATAATATTGACTACTAAGATAGGTTGCCAGTTTTGTTTTAAAATTCAATACTTACCAAATTACCAGTAAGCACTTCGTAAATGCAAATCTCTCCTGTTTTATTCATTGTAGCAAGATATTTATTATCTGGTGCGATCAACTGAATCTTAATGATGTTCCTAAAATTGTGATACGTGTATACGTTAATTATTTCACCTCAAAACCCAATACTTTATATACTAATACTATTTACTGTACATTATATCGATTTTGTACAAACTTTTGCTAGGATTTTGAACAGCGTATCAACCACGCTGTTCAAAATCCTAGAAACCAATTCTTCACCAGCTCAATTTTTACCTTTGCCTATAAACATGTAGCACTAGTTCAATTTTATCATCAGTCTCTGTGATGTAGTAGAGTCGGCCGCTATGCGTCCACACGGCGGCCATGTCGCTGCTCGTGTTGGAGACCAGCCGCACCACTTCTTCTGGCATTACGTACGTCCACGATACTTTCCACTTGCTCTCAGCTTTCTTTAGCAACTGTTGGCATAAATAGTTGGCATTGCTATTGTCCTTAGAACGCTGCTTCTTACATTGCGCTATAATTTAGCTTAACAGGTGAATTTACCTATTCTTTTCAAACTATTGGTTCTTATTACAAACTTTAGTTGATTTATAGTATTATGTCCGTAAGAGTATAATTTATGTACCTCGTGAACAAATACGAAACATTAATGCAACTGTAGGATCTTACTCGGAGCCTTTGATCGGGACCGTAGATGAGGATGCCATTCCCGAAGGAGCAGACACTGGGTTTGTCGGAGCCCGTCAGATTCTCTGACCACTCCAAGTGCGTCACCATCCCTATGCCGTCTGAGAGTACCTTTACAATTAGGAAATTGTTTGGAGAACTCGTAAACAACTGTTAGTTTTTTTTTTTTTGGAAAGATATATCGGTTTAATTTTTTGGAATAGTTTAGTCACAAATAAGTACTTATACATTTTACTATGTCCATAATATTATTGTTTATAATTTTAAGTATCTATACGTAAGTTCATATAACGCTCATAATTTTCCACTCATTGATCAGGGTTGCTTCAATTAATACCGTAGTGTAAGTCACGCACACATCAAAAAATGTATTCTTCCCAAAGAGAGCATTAAACCATCCTCGTTTGTACAAATTGGCAAACTATAAATGACTTCAAATTATTGAATGGCAAATTAGAAATTTAGTGAAAAATCGGATCTACTTGTACCAAATCTTTTGTTATAGTCACCACGTGTTAATTTGATAATTATTAAGTGCGCAGTGAGTGATACGATGAAATTGGAATTTTCTGACTCAGGTACTTATTTTAAGCTAAAATATTTACTTACACTATACAAATTAGCATCCTTATCTATGGCGTAAAGTTGTCCATCGCTGGTCCAGCAAACGTCGATGAGCGGCGGCTCGGAAATCTCCCAGCCGGTGACCTCCTCCTTGGCGCGGCGCAGCACCAGGCAGCGCCGGTAGCACTGCGCCACCTCCCACACGATCAGACCCTCGCCCCAGCACTCGCACACCAACATGTGTGTGCGACTTGCCCTGAGCAGTGTCGAAGATATTGCGACAATCATCTTATATATCGTAACCTTGACATTTTTTGTTAAATGAGCTGACTCGACTGCTACCATGACGTCATAGTGGACAGGCGTAAAAAATACAGACAGGCGCGGAAATATAACCTAAGTATTAATAATTACTACTACACAATTTAATTATCTAATTTCTTAGAGCTTCGATACGAACATGTAAATTTGCTTCCTCCTTATGACGCCGGTTGGGAGAGCCACTAGCCGCTGCTGCGTCCGCCAGTTCCACACTGTCAGCAGGTAGTTGGGGAAGCCAGAAAATGTGGCTATCAAGTCTCCTTCCATCATGCAAAGCGACTTGTATCTGTTCACTTCTAAGTCTATAAAAGAAAGACAATCAGTGCATATATGAATTATTAAAAGAAAATATTTTTATGCTTTAATGATTAATTTTTTTAACACGAACCGAATTCTGCTTCTAACTATTTTCAGGCGTCTTTTTGATTCTCTAGGTTCAGAAGTTCGCATTGTGTCAAAAAATCTTTGTAAATTCATAAATATATAGGGTCCATGCTGTAAGTTACCTTTAAGTAATGCCAGTTGGTTAAATCTGGGATATGATAAGACGAAGATCCTCGGGTTGGTTACTTTTTCAGCGAACACGAAAATGTTCGACCTGTGTCCTAGAAAAAACTAGCTATTAAAATAATTATCAAAATTCTAGAAATACATTAACTTTTTATAATTATGAAAATAATAACCTGCAATAACATCGACTCCATCACCGTTAATGTGATTGTTTGCAGTATATACAATTTCACTTTTGGTTTTAAAGTTGTAAAATATTATGTATATGTCATGTGCAATCGCTAATACCTGTTTACCGACAAAAGTAATGAAGTCCAACCTTTGCGGTATTACCCATCTGAAATCATACTTTTTATAACTAGTATAGGAATTATGAATTAATATTAAATCATTGGGTATTTATTGATATACCGAAAACTAGTTATCACAAGTGCCTCTACAACGATTTTAAACGTACTTTAGAATAATATTAATTAACTATAGTTACTGGACTAAACCAAGATAGTCTTAATCATATTGGGCGCCCGGGTGAGGAAATCACGGCCATTGGCTGGCGCTCTCCAGAAACCGGCGCCCGAGCCCCCCGCACCCATTGCAATCCCGGGTTTAGACGGCTCTGGTTCAAATAGTATTTTGAATATACTTTACTATACCTCACTTTTGTATTACTTATTCTTTGAGCTAGATATGCTTCTGAAGCTGTATCCATTTTTCTTAGGGTTAATGTAGTTTGCAATTTTAATGAATAAAATTGACATCGGTTTCATAGCAACGTATTAAAAAAAGCGTCATTTTAGAGTTTATCCAATTTTTTGCTTACAAAAATATCATGATAAATCAAGTTTGATTTTTTATTAAATGTTTATTTTACTAATATATACAATTATTAAAAAGGTTCTTTCTTCTCTATTAGACATAGATTAGACTGTTATTGCTATTATTTACTCCGCACTGTGCATACATCGGAACGTTATTATCTGTTCGAACTGTCAAAACTATGGGGTCGTCGCGAATACTAAATTGATTATAAAGATAAAAATGGAAACGAATGTCGTGATTAATTATTATACTGACTACTATAAATTGTTTAATATGTGAAATATGTTAGTGTAATTTTAGTAATAGCATAATGTAAGTTCTGTGATCACGTAGTACAATTACACCCGTGTTGATAAAAGATGACACATAAAAGTTTATTATTGTTTTGCTTTTCGTTTTGTGTTATTAGGGATAACGCGACTAGATCAGTTGTCGATCCAGTGGCGGCAAGATGGAATTCATCATCGATAGACTTCGCAGAGATCACAATGGACCGGAACTTCGCATTGCTTCTGGTCTCTCTGATATCTGCAATCCTATGGGTGGTTTATATAACGTACTACAATAGCCGTGTTCTCGGCTATATACTGACCAGGCTCATTAACAAATTCTATTTTCAAGATGAGAACTTCAAGATTGGTAAGTGATGCTTTCCTCGCATTGACATGCAGTCTATTCTAAAAATATTTCATTTTCTCAAATTCAAGGAAAAAATGTTTTATTTAAGACGAAGACTTGGGCTTTAAACAAGGCTTTTCCATGAATCATTATAGCATAGTTATATCATGAATCAATTACGTTAATATTAAATATTATGGATAGATGTAGATAATTTCACAAAGTATTCTTTACTAGCCGTTACTGATGTTTTCTTTTGTATGTAATTAAAATAGACTAGTTACTATCCTGTTCTCTATTTGAGATTGTAATCTCTTTCTGTTCCAAATTTGATGCAGAACTGTGCAGTTGTTCTGGAGTTGTATTGTTGCAAACATTTATCAATATAGGTTTGAGCTACTTTAAATTTTTAACAACTCATGTTTATTGTTGTTCTATTTTAGATGTAATTTTGAAGTAATTGGCTATAATTATTTAGTTTATGATTAACTATTTATTTTAATTTATGTAAGAAATATGTCTTACTTTAAATATATTTCTTTGGCCGTCCAGCTGTACAAAATTAGAACATTAAAGTTTTTATTTAACCTTGTATGCCAAGATGATTGTTTATAACATATGTTACCTGTTTATGTTATAAATAAAACAAATAATAGTATAAAATATAAATCTATTTAATTGTTTGTCACAACAGTCGGACTTGTTAATATGTTTTACAAAGTAAATATTTTCCGACTTATGTTTTTATTTGGCTTCTAATGATTTTTAATTATGTTATGTAAAGACTTTGAGGCTATGTGTCAAAGATAACTATCAAGAATTTACTTTCCTTTAAGTTTTATATTATTATAATAGGTTTTGTCAGGAGTATGTGCAATTTTAAACCCAAGCCCAACAAGACATTATCTCATCTATAAGAACGAAAGCATTCATTGTTTATTTGTTTCGAATTATATCTTACTAATGACTTGATTGAAATTCTCCAAAGGGTGTTGTAAAATTGACCAAAAAGTAAAATAAAATTTGAAAGATTTCACAAAGTGATGAAGTCTATATTTTTTGTTTGAGAAAAGGCTTCTAGGCTTCTGATAGGAAAATATTACGAGGCTACCATTCGTTCCAGGTTCATTCACTCTCAATGCTCTCTCTGGTAAAATCATGTTCCGGGACATTGTGTATATAAACTATGACTACACACTGCGCATCCAAGACGGATATCTGATATTCAGATGGTGGCGATCTTACGTCCCCAAAGATGTTTCTGAAGGTAAATTATTACCGTTTTTCTCACGTATTATTTCCCGCTCTTTGAATAATAATTTTATTACTTTAATATTGTTTACAGATTTATCACATTCCGATACGCGCCTTTCAATAATGTTAAACGGTTTCGAATTACATTTCTACAATCGATGCGATCTATACAACGAACTCGAGAAAACATTCGGCCTCGAGCCGGTTATAAAGGAACGAAACGACGACGACTCCACCGACAGAGACAAAGCTATGAACGATGCCAATGAGAAGCGACGACGAGCACAAGACACGGTGCGCTCCGAGGCCGCCATGGCACGCACCTGGCGAGACCTTATCCCCGTCATAAAGATAGACGTGTGCACCAGCCGAGTTGTCTTCGGTAATAAACTCGTTCCCACCACTCTGTCTATCAGCGTCGAGGAGTCGCATCTCGTGTACAGCACCAAGCCACCTGCCTCCAGTCTTGACCATCTGATGCACTTCGTCAAAGCCAAGGCGGAAAACTGCAAAGTAATTCTCGCCCCTAGCCCCAATTACACCGCGATGGTTGATGAACCTCCAAGATACATGGGCGAAGGCTTCGTGGTGATGAGCTCCAATTACATTGAAGTATATTTTTACATGGACGAACCCGGCCTGGTGCCGGAGCAGCCTGTACTTTTGCAGCTAGCGAATGGAGATATCGTGGAATCGGCGCCGCCAATTTGGGGCGTCGACATCAAATGTGGAAAAGGCACAGATTTTAGTTACGGACCGTGGGCGGATAGACAAAGAGATCATCTGTTTAGATTTTTCTTTCCACCAAATTACAAATCTCTAGAAGTGACGCCGCAACCGAAACCTGGTGATAGAAGGCAAATGCAATCCTTTGATATTAGACTGTCTACGTTAAACGAAGCGACGATAGACATTCTGTTTACCAAAAACAAAGAAACGAATGCTGTCCACATCAACATTGGCGCCGGATCGTACATGGAAGTAACCCTGCCGTGGATTGTGCTACAAGACGGATACACGACTAAAATAACAGGTCAGCTGCTCCACCTGGAGGCGACGACGAGTTTGCAGTATAGAAGCTTAGCGGAGAGCGAGACTCTCGAATATACAGTGAAATGTCACTACCCACTAGTGTGGAACCACCACCAGTGCTGGCAGCTGTCGCTGACTGGCTGTAAGGCCACGGCGCACTTTGTATATACACATATCGATTTCTTCCAAGACCTGACGAACGATTGGTCGAGCAAGGCCCGACCAGATATTTTGCATTTCGTTCCATATACATGGAAAATATCATTATTATTAAAAGAGTGCGAAGTTTTGACTGTGAGCAATCAACACAATTGGATAGATTGCAGTTCAACAAATCAAGAGAACAACCATGTCGCCTTTTGTGGCGATCTTCTAGATGTGTCATTTGATTTACCGTTCATTGATTTCCTTCCGGACGTTATACCTCTTAAGATTTGGGTTCAAGGGGAAGCCGTGGACATGAGTCTATACTTACCTGAAGTAAACACATCCAGACTGCTTCTGCTGTCCATTGATAAAAATATGAAATTAGTACCTTGTCGGCTGAAAGCCTCCAAGTGGCGCAGAAAGTGCGTAAAAAGTCAAGGTTGGGTGGATTGTTGGTCGGTTCCCATAGTAGCTCTGAGCGTCAGGTACAATTACCACCCGATTCCACCGTTGGGGCCGGAGCCGCAAGCCGATATCACCACACCGGAGAAGGAAGAGATTCTCCTCTCCCCAATGAGAATACCCCGAATGAGGAAACAGCCTCAAATGAATTGGGTCATAGATGGAAATACATTCGATCGCACTTCTCTACCGCCGGACAAAGTCAGCGTAGAACTAGAAGTGGGTCCGTCCGTCCTTCTCGCTTATGGTACAATAATTACAAGTTTTATGAATTTATTGGAGAATATTTTCGGCGAAGACCAAAGGTTCACAGATATGCAAAAAACCCCAAGCGTGGACAACCCCTTCTTCAATGATAACCCAACGAAGATTAACGACAGAAGTAGTATTAATCAACACGTCGACATATCTATGGACGACTCGAGCGATTCCGGCAAGGAGCCATTCGATCCGCGTCGCTGCCGGCCGCTGGACGTCGCCGTGTCCATCATAATACACGATATTCAAGCTCATTTAGTGAAGAATTGCAGCGAAAACGAGCCGCCCTGCCCTGTCGTACTTATCGAAAGATTCGGCTTTGAAATGGATAAGAGGTTCAAAGAAACCAAACTTCAGTTGTTACTCAGCCCCTCTATACTTGTATCGTCCAACAACCTGGCGAGACCCAACGCCAACAACACCGGCGCTCTGCAGCAAGGACACTTAATGCTCTCGTCATTCCAACTGCGAGGCAACGGCTTCTTCAGCGACACGAATCGCTCCGTAGAGGATGATACCGTGGAGTACGCGTGGATGATGGAACTCCAACTTGGGCAACTGACGGGTCGCCTCACGTTGCCGCAGCTCTACCAAATTATTTCATCACTCGAAACATTCTTGTTGCTCATATGCGACAGTGAAAATGAATTAGTACCTCCAAATTCAGTAAAACAGTGTCACCACGGCTTAAACACTGTTCTATGCCCGGAAACAGATTTAGGACTGAAATACCGCTGCCCGACTCCTAACGAAATCAAATACCGTATGATACGAGTTGCAATTGACCTAATAGATATTTATATCGCCGATTCCAATACGACTTTACAGTCATGGATTTCTCCGATCAGATTAACATTTTGTAATCTCCACGGTACGGGTTTCGGAACTGGGATAACTGGTTTGCTACCAAACATTAAGCTCGCACTTTACACTCAGACCAACATGCAAACCAATACTCACCACCATTCTAATAGCAGCACAAACAGCCACAATAAACAGACGCTTCCAGAAAGTGAAAACTGGGTCGGCGTCGGGTCCGTAGCTCTCGGGCCGGTGCTCATTGAAGCCGCATCGTCCCTACCCCAAGCGCCGAGGAATCTCCATTTGGTGCAGCAAAAGTTCCTTAAATTGCACGATGATAAAACTAAAAGACTTTGGTTCCTGTGGCCAAACGAGGGCAGAGGCACGCAATGTGGTTGCACGGGTGGATGTGCTTTCTTTGGCTCCAATAGAAACGGTCCCAATTTCTTAAAGCCGACCCAATCGGACATACTCGAGGGCGTAAACATAGCTATGTTCAATGTAATTGAAACATCCCCCGGAGAGTATGGCTACGGGCAGAGCCTTTTGCATCCCGGACAACTCGTGTTCCACACTCCTCCTTATAATAGCCTGAACGTTTGTTTGCAACCGACCAATGTTTCCACTTTAATCCCTTCACCGCTACCGCAAGCTTTCAACAAATCACCTCAAAGCGCCGAACGGCGAAGTTTGACGCGACGGTTCTCTTATACAAGCATGAGCAAAGGCAGCAACAATGTCCTCGTTTCTAGCACCAAAAGTGACGTCCCGTACGCTCGCCTAGTGGACTCCACTGTACCTCTGGGTACGTCAAAGATCGACAGCGACTCGAAACTCAACAAGAGTATTCTCAATGTTCCGCAAATGGAGAGCAGCGTGTCAGATTCTAAATTGGCACTCAGCTGTGGAGTAAAAGACACAAACGGAGTAGCGAAAAAGCCAGCGCCGACCGAAAGTGACGTGTTTGTAGCACCCAAAGTGCCGGCGAGAAGCGTGACCGTGTCGGAGTCTCACTATTCGCTAAATTCTCAGCCGCCTCAAGAAGAACTTTTGCAGCAAGAAGTTCAACGAACTATGTCCATCACGAGCGAAAACCATTCTGAAGCGTTTTTCTCCGCAGACGAGGACATGTTCCCGAGTCGGTCGTCTAGCTTAAAGCATTCCTTCGGCAGCCGCCACAGCAACCCTAAGGAAAAGAGCTCATTCGGTATCGATGCTACTAATGAGAAGTGGACCAACTCCATGCCGAGGTCTGAGGTAGTGGACTGCCCCGACACCATCAGCAACCTGAGCACCGGCGTCCAGCCCGACTCAGAAAGTGGATCCGTTTCTTCTACTTCCTTCATTTCTGCAATCTCATCACAAGAAGACATGACTCTTGTTAATTTGCATATGCAAACTAATAAACCTATCGTCGATTCTCCTCTACTGATGGCCAGCTACATGCACAACCTGCCGCAATACAAATGCTCCAATTGGTCGACGTGTTCCCTGCCTACAGGGAGAGATGCTTTCACTTTGCCGCTGTTCAAAAGGGCGGACGACGGATCTCTTGTTTACATCGGTCAAAAATATTTACCTAATTTCGAGCAGACGGGAAAGGTGAATATTTTAAAACTCCTTGCAAAGAAAGATGTCCACGGCGCCCAAAATCAACATGGCCCCTTTTCTAATCTAACGCCCCACTTCAACTCTCAAATCAAGGCCCATCCTTATCCGCAAGGCTGGTGGGAGCTGCAGCAGAACGTACAAGACAATCAAGAAAATGTCACAGACAAAAGTTCGGCGTCCATCGCCACTACCACAAGTGACAGCAAGAGTGGCCTGTTTATCAAGCTGCGCGGAGAAATCGATGTTATGCTGACGCCTTTAGTACTTGAAAGCACTCAGAAGTTCGTCGAGTCTTTGACGCCGGTGCTCGCGAATATCCATCCGATAACGGTCATAAATCATTTAAGACTGCTATGCATTTCCTCCGTGGAGAGCGCCAACGTTCTAAAGCAGAAGCAATACGTGCAAAACTGGATGCCGCAGCTGCAGTCGCACAACCACCCGAGCATCGTACCCGACAAAGATGACAAGTACAAGTTGGCGACCATTCCTCAACCGAACGTCTACGAGGAGACGATATACGACCAGCTTCAAGCGACGGTCACGGTGCCCAAAGTCAACGTTATATTTATACAGTCGTCCGTCGTTGAGGATATGATCTCGTTCTCTGCTCTAGATAACATACAAGACCTGACTTGCGTTTCTCTTTTCGGATTATCGGTTGAGAACATTGTAGCGAAATATGTCAGCTCCAAGAAAACATTGGAGTCTATACAACTGTACTACAGGCCGACGTTACGTGCGCTGGGGAGTAAAAAGTCCTTTGGCATCATGAAGGGGCCTCGAGCTCTTATATCTGCCCAATCGTCGGGACGAAAGAGAGGCCCCGAGAGGGGGGAGCCGGTGTTTATTGAAACCTCACAGCAGCAATGCGAGGACACTACCTTCACACTTAATGTTGGTACGTATTTTTGTTTCTATTTATCGCCGAGGTTGGCATAACTAGTATGTAAAATGAATAAGATAACACTTGCAATGTATCTGACAGGCAAGGTGCACGGCCAGCTGCGTCGCATTCGCAACGAGTCCTCTCAGCTGAAAGATGCCACAGTGACCGGCATCCCTTGCCAACATTCCAAAGTCAGTTTTAAGTTTACCAGAGTCGATCCCTGCAGCAAGGCCTGCGATACTACGGTAATTATCATTGTTTTATATCACTCCAATTTATATTCTTTATTATCCCAAGTCTTCATTATGTCATTGAATGTTTCAGTGTTGCCAAAATGGCGCAACGGATACCCAAAAAGAAAGTTCAATAGGTTTCATAATGTTCGAATGCGGGCTCGAGGGAGTCTCGATCAAGGTGTCACAGCACTCGCAATCTCACAAGGCCAACGAAGAGAAAAAACCTGTGCGGAACGACGCCGAGAGCTGCCGCGAGTCTGTCAAGTCCGCCGAGGAGTTAAAATCGGACAAAGAGAGGAGCTCCAAAGGTTACAGGACCTCCGGCATCGAAGATCTCTTCAGGAAGAAGGAATCGAACTCCAAGCCCAGTACACCCAACTTAGGGGCGACCCAGCCTCCGCCGGTGCCCCCCGAGCCCACGACCCCCGGCCCGGACGAGCCCTCCGACAGCACGGCGACCATTGTGCCCGTCAAAGACAACGGCAACCGGTCCTCCTGCGCCATAGATTTGAAGGTGGTTTGGTTCAACTTCGCCGCCCCGCCGCGCACTCCGATCACTAAGAAGATCGACTACACCAGGTAAATTAATTTATACAAAGTAATTAAGAATCGCATATGTTTTATTGACACTAAATCATGTCGGTGTTACAGACTGGACTGGAACCTGCTGAGCACGGCATCGCCGGCTATCAACGCGTGGATGAACCCGTGCAACAGGCTGGGCATCCGCGTGGTGGCGCTGTACCGCGCCCGCGCGCGCCGCCTCGCCGCCACCGCCGCCAGCCTCATGGCCGCCGCACTCGACCGCGCGCCCACACACACACTGCCCAAGGTAAACCCCCTCCCCTCCGCCCCTCCGCCGTATCCTGTGAACGCCTCCGTGGTGTATGAGAGTGTAAGTGTGAGATGTATGTGACAGAGCCGGTACGGGCGACACACGCCGATGGCGCGGCAGCTGCGCGAGGAGCCGTCGTTGCAGCTGTGCGGGGTGCTGCTGCGGTACGCGCTGCAGGCTGACGCCGCCGCAGTGCAGGCTGACCTCGCCGAGAGACATCTGCCCTCCCTCTCCACACTCAGACAGGTAAGCACTACACGATGTCCGTAAAACGAGAACTATCTAATTGTGTTGATTTTCATGACAATTTTTGACAGAGTGGCATATCTGAACACGCTTTCTTAATTATTTTTTTTCTGTTTAGGGTGTCATAGTGCTGAGCCGTCAGTGGAAGAACATCCTGTACACGCCGCTGCTGCTGGAGCACAACTACAAGAGCAAGATGATGAAGCCGCTCAATGTCACCTTCGCATTGCCAGATTTGTTAGAGGTGACACACCTCTACTATAATACAATCAGTGGATTTCCACTACAAAACACATGTACAAAAACATATAGTCATTACTCTCATTCTGTTTGAATAGAGATGGCATTATTTGTGTACGTACTGTACAGAGTGTCCCAGCATCGGAAACTTTTGGTTAAGTGTAAATAATAAATCAATCTGTTCCTTCAGGATTCAGTGGAAGGTTGGCAGGAGTACCAGCTGGAGAATGAAGCACTAGATGAGAATTGTCTGCTATTAAACATGGAAGCTGATAAACTGAACATACCTTGTAAGTATCCATTTTATTTTAATTAAGTTTAAATAAATATTAATATATACAAAATATAGTTATAGATATAATATTTTCATCTAGATCTAGATCTAAAAAAATGACTTATTACGACAGGAAAGTTGACTGTTTAGAAGTTTCTTAAGAAATTAGTCTTAGTCCGAATGACTTAAGAGAATGATAGTATCATTTAAATGTTTGCATTTGTATTAAAATGTATACTGAGGTGTTTGTACAGAGGAAAGTTAAAGAGATTTGTAATGTTGGTTTGTGTGAAGCGTGCGCGGTGCCGGCCAGCCCGCGCCCCCACTCCTTCCCCTCCACGCCGCCCTCCGGTGCGTACATCTCTCTCTCTCTCTCTCTCACTCTCATCGGCTCTCTCTTCAATGACGCTATACTCTTTTCAAATATCTTGTCGGCCCTTGGTCATGTGCGCACTGCGCTACACATAAAATGTGTTCTACACAATGACTCGTTAAAAGTTAGGAGCCGCCAAGATATTTGAAAATTATTATACCAATCTTGAAGCTTCTGAAGTTAGCTGCGAACGTTAGTGCATTGTAGTATAGTTAATTTCACTTTAAACGAATGATATTAATTTATACTCTAGATCAAATAAAGCAGAAAGTTTTATTGTTAATTTCAGAGGCTAAAAACTATGAAACGAACTATACTCTAATCGCCAAAATGTTGTTGATTGATGTTTTTAGTTTGTCGAAGTGGTTTTATGTTGTTATATTGAAGCAAATCATTTTGTATGTTTTTACATTACAATACTATTTAACAACTAGGAACCACTTTGCATATTAGTGCCTGGTTTGAGTCAATTTGTCATTGGTTTTCTTTTGCTCTTAAATACTTGGATGTTCTTCATATTTTATTGTTCTGGTTGAATGTCTGCTCTGATTCTTTTTGTTCGCATTGTCGTAATATTCACATAAAAACACATGTTCTCAGTTTTGCAGAGAGAAACATGTTTTTATATTTTTTACATGTCTTGTACGGTGTTGTTGCTACGTCCTTAATCCGTGATTATCTTAGTTTTTGATTGTCCTTAGAACAGATTTATTTCTTGTGTATAACAATTTTTATAGTTTTTAGGCATGTATTTGTTAGTTTTATATCTGTTTGTTGTACGCATATTTTCTAACTTGACTATTCTTTTTTAGATTTATTGTTGTATTGTCTTGCCTTTAAATTTTAATCTAGTTGTTTAGTGATTAACTGTAAGCATATTTTACATACATTAAACTGTGTTAAAAAATATATATATTTTCATGGTAAATACATATATACTAAGGATTCTTTATTGGAGATCCATTGGCTTCATTCATGGTATAAGCTAAAGACATTGTTTGAAAACCATTATACAACTTATTATTTTAATTTACGGGATTTTTTGAAAAATTAATTTGACACTTCTTGTCTCTCTCTCTCTCCCTCATGTATTAAGAGACAACATTATCGTATGGTTTGCATAGTGTTGTTTACATGAAGTGAGTGTGCGTGTGTTGTGCAGTGCGGGGCGCACAGAGCAGCCGGGCCAGCCTGGTCTTCCCCTCCCTGCCATTCTCCACCAGGAAGACTCCCTTCCAGGATGACGCCATCGCTAGTAAGTGTTGTTGCTTCAGATATTAATTACATAGTCTCCCTTTTCTGCCTTCTATCTTTTTACTTACAGTAACGTTTGCCTGTTAATATAGATTATGGAACGTTAAAAGAAGATCTACCGACTGTGGGGTCGAACCCATCCCTGTACTCCCCCCACGGCAGTCACGACGACATGGCCAACGAGCAGGCTCGCGAAGATCTCTACCAGTGGATGGCCAAACAGGAGCCCATCAAAGTCGTAAGTTGAATATCATTACAATCCATTTAAACAGTTATTTTTATACTAAAAGATGACAGTAAATGTTAGAGTAACACTGTTAATGTACTCTAAGGAGCCGAAAACAAAGAAGCCGATAATACCTGCGTCTAAGATGAATCCGCGCGCGGTGGCGGCGGCTCTGCCCGCCTGCAGCCTGTACCCGCTGCAGGGCTCGCTGATGCTGCTGGACGCGCACCTCGTCTTCCAGCCGCTGCTGGCCGCGTTGGGCGTCTCGCCCCACCAGGTGCCGCAAGGTACACGCCCGCTAATACACCCCACTACTTATAACGTTATTTTTTATGTAACCCAGTAATTTAATAACCGGTTCTTACTATCCGATCCTGCAGGGGAATCGAAAGACAAGGGCTACATGGCGGGGCAGGGAGTTGGCGAGGGGGGCGGGGGCGGCGAGAGCGCGCCGGCGCTGGAATCACTGGGCTCCAAGCTGTCGCTGCTGGCCTGGCTCGACGTCTTCCGCATCGACATTGTCGTCAGCGACCTCGCCGCCCGCGACCGCAGGCACGCTAATAACAAAGGAAAAGGTAATTTACTCTTAAATACAGCCCGTCTACCAAATATGGCTTAAAGAGTCACAAGTAACTCGTCTATCAGGTCATCCGAGCCACATCGACATCCCGTCGGAGACGCCGGCCTTTCTGTGCGAGAAGGTGTCCATCGACGTGGACGTGAAGAAGGTGGCAGACATGGCGGTAGACGAGCTGGTGCAGCGGCGCAACGTGCTGTACATCTCGCGCGGTCAGCTCAAGCGGCACATCAGCACCATGCTCAACTTCAACGTCAGCGTGCGCTTCATCTCACAACAGGTGTACCAACCTACTCCAGATTTAGCCTGTACTAGTAGAAGTAGATTAGATTTTAGATTTCTTGTAAGTGATACGCACGATGTGACGAATAGCACAGTGATGATATCGATGCATGATGTTGTGCAGGTGAACATGCCGCTGCTGCGACTGCTGCATCAGATCAGCAACATGTACCAGAACGTGAAGGACACGCAGACCGAGCTGCGCAGCCAGACAAAGCTAAACCACCGACAGAACAAACACACATCATCCTCCGGTAAATAATACTTTCTGTTCCTAAATAAATTAAAAAATCGCAATCGAATTTAATTATCAACAAAATATTCCAGTTTCCGACTTCCGTGAGAACATAGTGAGCCTGTCTTCGCTGGACAAAGAGAGCACGTACGGGATGATGGGCGTCACCGTGAGCGCGGACGTGGAGACGCGCTCTCCGCCCACCACCGCGCCGCCCGCACCCCGCGCGCCTCGCCCACAGTCCTTCGCACAGAAGCTGCGCTCCACCGGGAAAAGCGTCAAGGGTAGACTAGGTAATCGGTTTTATCGACTCATCTTCTATCCATCTTTACTCCATTTGATTCAATGCATACTAAACTGCATGACATATGTTTTAGGCTACAGTTCGCTGAACGAGGGCGCACATACTCCGATGTACAGTGCGGAGACGCCTCGTGTGCCCGCCGGTCCCGCCCCCGTCATCTCTGTACCCG